GAGGTGCCCTACTTGGTGACGTCACGCCGCATGGCCCACGTGGACGGCCGGTGGCCATTTTGGATTCAGTCATTGCCAGATGTGAGTTCATATCTCCTTACTTTTATATATTGTTCCATCCCTTAATAAAAGTACTACACTATTGGAAGTTCTTTTCTCTGTCTTGTTTGTTACGAGCCCCCCCTAAGGTGTAATCCCTGTTACTCTGCATCTACCTTCACGTGTGGTTCCCCCTGCTGGAAGGATGGTTTGCTCCTGGAGCCTGGAGATGTATGCGGTGTGTTACCTGTCTTGCTGAGGTTTGCCAGATGACCCCCAGTGTCCCATTTTCCAGATCCAGATGACCAGGAGTTGGTTTTGAATTACTCAAATGCGCATTACATTGCGTTTCTGGTTAGTGCAATATACACTCATTTTCAGCCACTGGAGTCACGGAGTTTCACCTTTTGATTGATATTGAACTTGAAATTGTTTGTTTTACACCACTTTATGCACTTTATTATGTCACACCTGGACGTTATTTACACTACTGTTTTTAGCGCTCTGGAGTGCTTTTATTGCCTATATTGTTTTATTGCATTTATTATTATTATTATTATTAGAAGCTGATTTATATATTAATCCTCATTTTACACAGCGCTGCATATTTTTATGATATGATTTTATGAGAAGGTTTTAGAGGTTCACCTTTCTGCTAGCTGCTCAACCTACTTCACCCAGCGCTCGTTTGTTATTATTTATTATATCATACTGGGACCAGGCCAGAGTGGCTTCAGAATAGGGAAGTATACAGATCTTTTCTTTACAGGGTTACATAGAATCGCCTTAGAATGGGGGATGGGAATAGGTGGAACCTAGATTTTGCTGAAGATTTCACTTTCATTTAAAGTCATCAATGATTAATATCAGCTTAAGTTTATGAATGAAATATTTTACTATTTGAATAAATTCAGAGAATACAGACAGCTGTTCTCCTGGGTGTTTCAGTGTGGATTGAATGTTTGCCAGATATTTACTTACACCAAACTCCTGGAGAAGTCTTCCTCCCTCTCTCCAAGGTACAGGATAAGGCAGCGGATGGCGACTTTTCTGTGTATTTCATTGTATTGTGCTAATGAGGAAACAAGTGTAACAAGGATCAGGAGAACGTCCCTTTAACCCCTTCAATACCGGCACTTTTACCCCCTTCCTGCCCAGGACAATTTTCAGCTTTCAGCGCTCTCACATTTTGAATGACAAGTGCGCGGTCATGCAACACTGTACCCATATGAAATTTTTATTATTTTTTTTCACACAAATAGAGCTTTCTTTTGGTGGTATTTAATCACCGCTGGGGGGTTTATTTTTTGTGCTATAATAAAAAAAAAGCAAAAAAATTTGAAAAAAAAAAGTTTTTCGTTGTTTCTATTATAAAAATTTGGCAAACAGGTATTTTTTCTCCTTCACTGATGTGCGTTGATGAGGCTGCATGGATAGGCAGCACTGATGGGCACTGATAGGAGGCACTGATAGGCAGCATTGATAGGCAGCACTGATGATGCTGCACTGATAAGCTGCACTGATGGGCAGCACTATTGGGCAGTAGTGCTGGGCCCTGATGGGCGGCACTTCTGGGCAGCATGATGGGTGGCACTGCTAGGTAGAACTGATGGGTGTCACCGCTGGGCACAGCTGGGTGGCACTGATGGGCACTGACCGGGGCACAGGTGGGTACCACATTGGGTGGCAGCTAGGTACAGGTGGTTGGCATTGCTAGGCACGGGTGGTTGAAACTGCTTGGTGGCACTGCAGGGCACAGGTGGGCTGCACTGATGGGTACAGGTGGGTGGCACTGCTGGGCACTGATCATCAGTGTCGATCACTTCTCTGACAATTGCCGGTTATCGTCAATACTTTCTTCACTGTGTGACAGCGTGAGGAAAGTGCAGCCAATAACCGGCAACCGTATTTACCCGGTGATCTGCTGTATCATTGGACACAGCTGATCACGTGGTAAAAGGCCGCCGTGATTGGCCGTTTACCGTATCCTGTGATCAGCTGTGTATCCATGTTCTACATTTTCACAAGTAAAACTACGAGGGATTAAACTGCCGTGTCTTATTGGAGTGTTGAGCTGTCTGTGGTGAACGCTGACCCAGCAAGTGATCATATTGGCCAGACAGACGGAGGTCTAACGGAGGAATGTGAATGCACAAAGCAGTGCTGGAAACAGAACAATATTAGTATAGAACGATAGAATATACCAAAAAGGAAAAGGGGGAAATTCAAAGTGTGTACTGTCTCATTTTTTTCAAGCCACTTTGGAGATTTATTTCCTATTGTCTAAAAAAAAAAAAAATTAACAAATAAAAGTAATAAAATCTAAGGAAATGACCAAACAACATTTTAAAATCAATCAAATAAAATTATAAACACTCCACAGCGCAATAAATTTAAAATTAAATTAGATACTATAAATAAAAGTCCAAAAATAAAGTCCAAAAAAATTATTTCCAAAATCCATGAATTGTGCTCAATCCCAAAAAAAAAAACCTGTGCTCCAAAATTCTTCAAACCAATGTGCTCCCCCCATCCGTGATGAATGCTCCTCCCCCCTCACCAGATGGAATGGACTCTTCCTGATATGGCACAAGAGTCAGACAAGCGTAGAATGAGTGGGCGTGTCCTCCCAGATAACTCTGTACTCAATATCCTCCAGAAACGACTCCCACGATTGGATGACAATGGAAAACAAAACAAAAACAACAAATAGTGCAATACTGTAAAAAAACTCTTTAATTTTAAAACAAGTCTGCCTTCTATACACTCACATGATACAAAATATAGTCAGGCTTCATAATAGGCCCAGAGGCTCATATTATATGAGAGATTTCCATTTGTAGAAGTGGACTGGCAAAGATAGATAGAAATCCCTTCTAGACAAGCAGGAAGTCACTCCGGAACACCGCAAACCAGCGTGCGTTCCACTCACCGGATGTGACGTCACCACGCACCCACCGGAACCGTCAACGCGTTTCACCCTCCTCCAGGGCGTTATTCAAGACATCATTTTCATGCTCCTAACATCTTATATACCTCCCCACTTCTCCTCCCCTTTCTCCATTCAGCCAAATTCATCCCATTAACCCTCTAACACCAAATCCCTCCAATCCACTTCCCAATTACAATCTCCAAGCCAACATACACATACCAATATCGATATTTTAATTCCACAGACACCTAATTACCTCTCTATTTATTTTAAATCATCATAATAACAAAAATGTACTCCATACTATTTAATCTAATAGACCCCAAACAATAGTTCTAATACAAAAAAATTATATGTAAAAATAAAAATAAATAAAAAATAGGAAAAATAATAAAAATAAAATTAGATATAACTAAATAAAAAAATGAAAAAAATGAAAAATATAAAGATAAAAATAAAACAACAAAAAACAAAAAATAATAAAAATGAAAAACTAAAAATAAATAAAATTAAAAAACTACAAAATTACACAATAAACAACAATCAATGAATTCATATCTAATAGACACTACCAATTGGACAAGAAACAATTAAGATCAACATCTATATTCAACCCCTTAGGGGATAAAATATTCAATTTTAGGATGCATTAGAAAAATTAAAAGAGGTTTTAGGCATCACAGTTTGTCCTACCATATTAGGAAGTGCCACAATAGGGATCCATCTTTGCTCAGGTTCTGTGGGAACGACAAAGTTGAGCCTCATTAGTGTGGTGGAAATATGACTAGGTCGATTTCACAGAATGAGACAAGATGGTTCCTAAAATTGAACACTTTATCCCCTAAGGGGTTGAATTTTAGAACTTAACTGTTTTTTGTCCAATTGGTAGTGTCTAGTAGATATGAATTCTTTGATTGTTGTTATTGTGTAATTTGGGTTTTTTATTTTTATTATTTTATTGTCATTATTTTTTATTTTTATTATTATATTTTTTTATTTCATTTTATTTTTTATTATTTTATATTTAGCGGAAAAATGATGCCTTGGATAACGTCCTGGAGGAGGGTGAAACGCGTCGCCGTATTTCCGGTTCTGGTGGGTGCGTGCGTGGTGACGTCACGTCTGGTGAGTGGAACGCACGCTGGTTGGCGGCGTTCCGGAGTGACTTCCTGCTTGTCTAGAAGGGATTTCTATCTATCTTTGCCAGTCCACTTCTACAAATGGAAATCTGTCATATAATATGAGCCTCGGGGCCTATTATGAAGCCTGACTATATTTTGTATCATGTGAGTGTATAGAAGGCAGACTTGTTTTTAAATTAAAGAGTTTTTTACAGTATTGCACTATTTGTTGTTTTGGTTTTGTTTTCCATTGTCATCCAATCGTGGGGAGTCGTTTCTGGAGGATATTGAGTACAGAGTTATCTGGGAGGACACACGCCCACTCATTCTACGCTTGTCTGACTCTTGTGCCATATCAGGAAGAGTCCATTCCATCTGGTGAGGGGGGAGGAGCATTCATCACGGATGGGGGGAGCACATTGGTTTGAAGAATTTTGGAGCTCAAGGGTTTTTTGGGGGATTGAGCACAATTCATATATTTTTGGAAAACAAATTTTTTTTTGTGTGTAATTTTTATATATAATGTATTCGTGCTGTGGAGTGTTTATAATATACTAAAATAATTACATTTCCATGTTCTGTGTTCTGTGGGAGAGCAGATATAGTGAATGCGGGGTCCGGGGAGGAGAGATATATAGTGAATGCAGGGTCAGGGGAGAGTGGATATAGTGAATGAAGGGTCAGGGGAGACAGGATATAGTGAATGTAGAGTCCGGGGAGAAACCACATATAGTGAATGCGGGGTCCTGGGGAGACAGGATATAGTGAATGCAGGGTCCTGTGACTCCAGATATAGTGAATGCAGGGTCCAGGGAGATCAGATATAGTGAATGAAGGGTCCGAGGATACCAGATATATAGTGCATGCAAGGTCTGGTGAAAATGGATATAGTGAATGCAGGGTACAGGGAGAGTGGATAGAGTGAATGCAGGTTCTGGGGGAGAGCAGATATAGTGAATGCAGGGTCCGGGGAGACCAGATATAGTGAATGCAGGGTATCGGGAGGGGATATTGTGAATGCAGGGTCCGGTGAGAGTGGATATAGTGAATGCAGGGTCCTGGGTGAATGGATATAGTGAATGCAGAGTCCGGGGAGAGCGGATATAGTGAATGCAGGGTACGGGGAGAGCGGATATAGTGAATGCAGGGTCCGGGGAGACCAGATATAGTGAATGCAGGGTCCGGGGAGACCAGATATAGTGAATGCAGGATTCAGGGAGAGCAGATATTGTGAATGCAGGGTCTGGGAGAGCAGATATAGTGAATGCAGGGTCCGGGGAGACCCAGATATAGTGAATGCAGGGTATCGGGAGGGGATATAGTGAATGCAGGGTCCGGTGAGAGTGGATATAGTGAATGCAGAGTCCGGGGAGAGCGGATATAGAGAATGCAGGGTACGGGGAGAGCGGATATAGTGAATGCAGGGTCCGGGGAGACCAGATATAGTGAATGCAGGGTCTGGGGAGACCAGATATAGTGAATGCAGGATTCAGGGAGAGCAGATATTGTGAATGCAGGGTCTGGGGAGAGCAGATATTGTGAATGCAGGGTCCGGGGAGACCAGATATAGTAAATGCAGGGTCCTGGGAGAGCGGATATATGAATGCAGGGTCCAAGGAAACCAGATATAGTGAATGAAGGGTCCGAGGACACCAGATATAGTGCATGCAAGGTCTGGAGAAAATGGATATAGTGAATGCAGGGTACGGGCAGAGTGTATATAGAGAATGCAGAGTACAGGGAGAGCGGATATAGTGAATGCAGGGTCTGGGGAGAGCAGATATTGTGAATGCAGGGTCTGGGGAGAGCAGATATAGTGAATGCAGGGTCCTGTGAGACAAGATATAGTGAATGCAGGGTCCGGGGAGAGGGGATATATGAATGCAGGGTCCGGGGAGACCAGATATAGTGAATGATGGGTACAGGGAGAGTGGATATAGTGAATGCAGGGTCTGGGGAGAGGAGATATAGTGAATGCAGGGTCCTGTGAGACCTGATATAGTGAATGCAGGGTCCTGGGAGAGGGGATATATGAATGCAGGTTCCGGGGAGACTAGATATAGTGAATGCAGGGTCTGGGGAGAGCAGATATAGTAAATGCAGGGTCCAGGCAGACCAAATATAGTGAATGCGGGGTCCAGGCAGACCAGATATAGTGAATGCAGTGTCCCGGGGAGAGTGGATATAGTGAATGCAGGGTCCGGGGGCAGACCAATTATAGTCAATGCAGGGTCCGGGGAGAGCGGATATAGTGAATGCAGGGTCCGGGGAGAGCGGATATAGTGAATGCAGGGTCCGGGCAGACCAATTATAGTCAATGCAGGGTCCGGGAAGAGCGGATATACTGAATGCAGGGTCTGGGGAGGAGTGTGCAGATGACGTCACAACGTTACCATTCATCGGGACAGCGGTTATAGTACTCTGTAAACGGCTCCTGGAACGACATTCCAGCAGGCAATAGCATTCATTAAGTGGCCCCGTGCTTTGCCTGGCATTACATTAAGGATGGGGTCAGGTTTTGAGCATGTACAGGACTCTGCTGCTGAGATAATACTGCCATCTAGTGTCTAATCAGTACATCACTGGATGTTCATCATACCTGGTGCAATATACACCTCCGGAACGTGAGTGCATTTCTTATGTTTAATTGATGAATAAAAGTGTAAAAGGATAAAGCACTATGTGGAGTTCTTTGTAATGAGGAATACGGCTGATACAAAGACGCTTATCAGGAGGGAGATTACTTTGGAGTCCTCATTCAACAAGCTGATCTTCTGAGTCCAAATGGGACCAAAAGTGCAGTTAGACGTAACATTGTATAATGTGCGGTCACACTGCGTGAGGTGAGCAGATATATGGTGGAGGATGTCTTTGCACGGGAATTGATGACAGATGCACATATTTTTTGTTATCCAAAGGAGGGTTCACAGAAGAACACTTTAATGATTGAACAAATCAAGCAAGAGTTGAATGACTTTTGCTTGATTTGTACTTAAAAAATACTTTTTGATTTTTTTTGTGTGGTCCTTGTTTTTCATATATATATATAGATTTATTTACTTAATTATTTTTTCAATAATTTTTATTTTGTTATTTATTTATTTTTTCACTTTGCTTTTTGATACATAGGAATTGTGCATGCAGGGTCCTGGAAGACCAGTAATAGTGAATGCAGGGTCCGGGGGAGACCGGTTATAGTGAATGCAGGTTCCTGGCAGACTAATTATAGTGAATGCAGGGTCCAGGGAGAGCGGATATAGTGAATGCAGGGTCCAGGGAGACCAGATATAATGAATGCAGGGTCCGGGGAGATCGGATATAGTGAATGCAGGGTCCGGGGAGACCGGATATAGTGAATGCAGAGTTTTCTTGAATCATACTTAAAAAATACTTTTTGATTTTTTTGTCGTCCTTGTTTGTTTATATATATATAGTTTTATTTACTTAATTCTTTTAAATAATTTTTATTTTATTATTTATTTTTTCACTTTTCTTTTTTGATATATAGGAATTGTACAATTATTTTATGTAGCGCAGCATTTTTTTCACTTTATAATATGATAGTGAATGCAGGGTCTGTGGGGACCAGATATAGTGAATGCAGGGTCCAGAGAGAGAGAAGATATAGTGAATGCAGGGTCCGGGGAGACCAGATATAATGAATGCAGGGTCGGGGGTGGACTGGATATAGTGAATGCAGGATCTGTGAAGACCAAATATAGTGAATGCAGGGTCGGGGGGGGGGATTGGATATAGTGAATGCAGCATCAAGGGAGAGCAGATATAGTGAATGCAGGGTCTGGGGAAAGCAGATATAGTGAATGCAGGGTCTGGGGAGATCGGATATAGTGAATGCAGAGTCCAAGGAGACCAGATATAGTGCATGGGGGATCCTGGGAGATTGGATATAGTGAATGCAGGGTCCGGGGAGAGCGGATATAGTGAATGCAGGCTCCAGGGAGAGCAGATATAGTGAATTCAGGGACCGGGGAGAGCAGCGTCCAGGGAGAGTAGATATAGTGAATGCGGGGTCTGGGGAGATCGGATATAGTGAATGCAGAGAACGGGGAGAGACCAGATATAGTGCATGGGGGGTCCTGGGAGATTGGATATAGTAAATGCAGGGTCTGTGGAGAGAGGATATAGTGAATGCAGGCTCCTGGGAGACCAGATATAGTGAATGCAGAGTCCTGAGATAGTGGATAAAGTGAATGGAGGGTCCTGGGAGAGTGGATATAGTGAATGAAGTGTCCAGGGAGAGCAGATATAGTGAATTTAGGGGTCCAGGTAGAGCGGATATAGTGAATGCAGGGACCGAGGTGACCAGATATAGTGAATACAGGGTCCTGTGAGACCAGATATAATGAATGCAGTGCCTGGGCAGAGCGGATATTGTGAATGCAGGGTCCGGGGAGACTGGATATAGTGAATGCAGGGTCCGGGGAGAGCGGATATAGTGAATGCAGGGTCTGGGGAGAGCAGATATAGTGAATACTGGGTCCTGGGAGAGTGGATATTGTGAATGCAGGGTCCGGGGAGAGCGGATATACTGCATGCCAGGTCTGGGGAAACTGGATATAGTGAATTCAGGGTCCGGGGAAACTATATATAATGAATGTAGGGTCCAGGGAGAGCAGATATAGTGAATGCAGGGTCCGGGGAGAGCAGATATAGTGAATGCAGGGTCCGGAGAGATCGGATATAGTGAATGCGGGGTCCGGGGAGAGCAGATATAATGAATTCAGGGTCCGGGGAGAGCAGATATAGTGAATGCAGGGTGTGGGGAGAGCAGATATAATGAATTCAGGGTCCGGGGAGAGCAGATATAGTGAATGCAGGGTCCGGAGAGATCGGATATAGTGAATTCAGGGTCCGGGGGGACCGGATATAGTAAATGCAGGGTCCGAGGAAAGCTGATATAGTGAATGCAGGGTCCTGGGAGAGCGGATATAGTGAATGCAGGGATTGGGGAGACCAGATATAGTGAATGCAGAGTTCAGGGAGAGCAGATATATTGAATGCAGGGTCTGGGGAGAGCGGATATAGTGAATGCAGAGTCCAGGGAGAGCGGATATAGTGAATGCAGGGTCTGAGGAGACCAATTATATTGAATGCATGCTCCTGGAAGACCAGTTATAGTGAATGCAGGGTCCGGGGAGAGCGGATATAGTGAATGCAGGGTCCGGGGAGAGCAGATATAGTGAATGCAGGGTCCAGAGAGAGCAGATATAGTGAATGCAGGGTCTGGGGAGAGCGGATATAGTGAATGCAGGGTCAAGGAAGAACAGATATAGTGAATTCAGGGTCCGGGGAGAGCAGATATAGTGAATGCAGGGTCCTGGGAGTGCGGATATTGTGAATGCGGGGAGATGTGAATGCAGGGTCCTGGGAGAATGGATATAGTGAATGCAAGGTCAGAGGAGAGCGGATATAGTGAATGCAGGGGCCATGGAGAGCAGATATAGTGAATGCAGGATCCGGAGAGAGCAGATATAGTGAATGCAGGGTCCGGGGAGAGCGGGATATAGTGAATGCGGGGTCTAAAGAGACTAGATATAGTGAATGCTGAGTCCGGGGAGTTTGAATATAGTGAAAACAAGGTCTGGGGAGAGCGGATATAGTGAATGCAGGGTCCGGAGAGAGGACCGGATATAGTGAATGGTTAGCATTTCCACCTGGCAGTACTAGGGTGACTGGTTCAAATCTCAACCACTGGGTACAGGAAAAGCGAATATAGTGAATGTGGGGTCCGGTGAGAACGGATATAGTGAATGCGGGGTCCGTGGAGAGCGGATATAGTAAATGCAGGGTCCGGGGACAGCAGATATAGTGAATGCAGGGTCTGGGGAGAGAAGATATAGTGAATACAGGGTCCGGGGAGACCAGATATAGTGAATGCAGAGTCCTGGGAGACTAGATATAGTGAATGCCGGTTCTGGGGAGAGCAGATAAAGTGAATGCAGGTTCTGGAGAGAGAAGATATAGTGAACGTAGGGTCCAGGGAGAGCAGATATATTGAATGCAGGGTCTGGGGACAGTGGATATAGTGAACGCAAGGTGTGGGGAGAGTGGATATAGTGAATGCAGGGTCCGAGGAGAGCAGATATAGTGAACGCAGGGTCCGGGGAGAGCGGATATAGTGAACGCAGGGTGTGGGGAGAGGAGTGATAGAGTGAATTCAGGGTCAGGGAGAGTGGATATAGTGAATGCAGGGTCAGGGGAGAGTGGATATAGTGAATGCAGGGTCTGGGGAGACTGGATATAGTGAATGCAGGGTCCAGGGAGAGCAGATATAGTGAATGCAGGGTCCTGTGAGACCAGATATAGTGAATGCAGGTCTTGAGAGAGGGGATATTGTGAATTCAGGGTCCGGGGAGAGCAGATATAGTGAATGCAGGGTCTGGGGTGAATGGATATAGTGAATGCAGGGTCCGGGGAGACTGGATATAGTGAATGCAGGGTCTGGGGAAACTATATATAGTGAATGTAGGGTCCGGGAGCAGATATATAGTGAATGCAGGGTCCGGGGAGACCAGATATATTGAATGCAGGGTCCTGGAAGACCAGTAATAGTGAATGCAGGGTCCGGGGGAGACTAGTTATAGTGAATGCAGGTTCCTGGCAGACCAATTATAGTGAATGCAGGGTCGAGGGAGAGCGGATATAGTGAATGCAGGGTCTGGGGAAACTGGATATAGTGAATGCAGGGTCCGGGAAGACTACATATAGTGAATGCAGGGTCCTGGGAGACAGGATATAGTGAATGGAGGGTCCAGGGAGAGCGGATATAGTGAATGCAGGGTCTGGGGAGAGCAGATATAGTGAATGCAGGGTCCTGTGAGACCAGATATAATGAATGCAGTGCCTGGGGCAGAGCGGATATTGTGAATGCAGGGTCCGGGGAGACCAGTTATAGTGAAAGCAGGTTCCTGGCAGACCAATTATAGTGAATGCAGGGTTCAGGGAGAGCAGATATAGTGAATGCAGGGTCTGGGGAGATCGGATATAGTGAATGAAGGGTCCGGGGAGACCGGATATAGTAAATGCGGGGTTCGGGGAGACCGGATATAGTGAATGCAGGGATTGGGGAGACCAGATAAAGTGAATGCAGAGTCCAAGGAGAGGAGATATAGTGAATTCAGGGTCTGGGGAGAGTGATATGGTGAATGCAGGGTCTGAGGAGACCAGTTATATTGAATGCAGGGTCTTGGAAGACCAGTTATAGTGAATGTAGGGTCCAAGGAGACCAGTTTTAGTGAATGCAGGGTCCAGGCAGAGCAGATATAGTGAATGCAGGGTTCAGGGAGAGCAGATATAGTGAATGCAGGGTCCAGGGAGACCAGATATAGTGAATGCAGGGTCCAGGGAGAGCAGATATAGTGAATGCAGGGTCCGGGGAGAGCAGATATAGTGAATGCAGGGTCTGGGGAGAGCGAATATTGTGAATGCGGTGTACGAGGAGACCAGATATATTGAATGCGGGGTCTGGAGAGACTGATTATAGTGAATGCTGAGTCCGGGGAGTTTGAATATAGTGAATGCAAGGTCTGGGGAGACCAGATATAGTGAATGGTTAGCATTTCCACCTGGCAGTACTAGGGTCCCTGGTTCAAATTTCATCCACTGGGTCCGGGAAAAGCGAATATAGTGAATGCGCCGTCTGGTGAGAGTAGATCTAGTGAATGCAGGGTCAGGGTAGAGCGGATATAGTGAATGCAGGGTCCGAGGAGAGCGGATATAATGAATTCAGGGTCCGGGGAGACCAGATATAGTGAATGCAGGGTCCGGGGAGACCAGATATTGTGAATACAGGGTCCGGGGAGAGCGGATATAGTGAATGCATGGTCCTGGGAGAGCAGATATAGTGAATGCAGGTTCTGGGGAGAGCAGATATAGTGAATGCAGGGTCCGGGTAGAGCAGATATAGTGAACGCAGGGTCCAGGGAGAGCGGATATAGTGAACGCAGGGTGTGGGGAGAGCGGATAAAGTGAATGCAGGGTCCGCGGAGACTGGATATAGTGAATGCAGGGTCTGGGGAGACTGGATATAGTGAATGCAGGGTCCGGTGAGAGCAGATATAGTTAATGCAGGGTCCTGTGAGACCAGATATAGTGAATGCAGGGTCTCGAGAGAGGGGATATTTTGAATGCAGGGTCCGGAGAGAGCAGATATAGTGAATGCAGGGTCCGGGTTGAATGGATATAGTGAATGCAGGGTCCGGGGAGACTGGATATAGTGAATGCAGTGTCCAAGGAGAGTGGATATTGTGAATGCAGTGTCCAAGGAGAGTGGATATAGTAAATGCTGGGTCCTGGGAGAGCGGATATAGTTCATGCAAGGTCTGGGGAAACTGGATATAGTGAATTCAGGGTCCGGGGAAACTATATATTGTGAATGTAGGGTCCAGGGAGACAGGATATAGTGAATGCAGGGTCCGGGGAGAGAGGATATAATTAATGCAGGGTCTGGGGAGACCAGATATAGTGAATGCAGAGTCTGGGGAGAGCAGATATATAGTGAATGCAGGGTCCGGGGAGACCGGATATATTGAATGCAGGGTCCTGGAAGACCAGTAATAGTGAATGCAGGGTCCGGGGAGACCAGTTATAGTGAATGCAGGTTCCAGGCAGACCAATTATAGTGAATGCAGGGTCCAGGGAGAGCGGATATAGTGAATGCAGGGTCTGGGGAGAGCGGATATAGTGAATGCAGGGTCTGGGGAGAGCGGATATAGTGAATGCAGGGTCTGGGGAGAGCGGATATAGTGAATGCAGGGTCCGGGGAGGAGTGTGCGGATGACATCACGACATTACCATTCATCATGACAGTGGTTATAGTACTCTGTAATCAGCTCCTGGAACGACATTCCAGCAGGCAATAGCATTCATTAAGTGGCCCCGTGCTTTGCCTGGCATTACATTACGGATGGGGTCTGGTTTGAGCATGTACAGGACTCTGCTGCTGAGATGATACTGCCATCTAGTGTCTAATCAGTACATCACTGGATGTTCATCATACCTGGTGCAATATACACCTCCGGAACGTGAGTGCATTTCTTATGTTTAATTGATGAATAAAAGTGTAAAAGGATAAAGCACTATGTGGAGTTACAAAGACACTTATCAGGAGGGAGATTACTTTGGAGTCCTCATTCAACAAGCTGATCTTCTGAGTCCAAATGGGACCAAAAGTGCAGTTAGATTGTAACATTGTATCGGGAAACCAGTATAGGAAAGCAGGTCTGGGGAGCCAGATATAGGAATTTCATGGTTGGGGGGGGGATATATAGTGAATGATGGGCGGGGGAAAGCGATTATATTTAATGAGGGTCTGGGGGGACCCTTTCAGTGAAAGCAAGGTCCGGGAGACCAGTTTAGTGCATGCAGGTTTCCCGGCAGACCAATTTGTAGTGAATGCAGGGTCCAGGGAGACAAGAATTTTGTGAATGCGGGGTTTAGGTAGAGCAATATAGGAAAAGCAGGGGCCGGGGGGGCAGAATATGAATGCAGGGTCCAGGGAGGCAGATATAGTAAAAGCAGGGGCGGGGGGAGAAGATATAGAAAAATGCAGGTCCAGGGAGCCAGTATGGAAGCGGGTCCTGGCAGACCGATATGTGAATGGTTTTCATTTCCACTGGGAGTATAGGGTCGCTGGTTTCAAATCCAACCCCTGGGTCCAGGGAGAGCGGTTAGTGAATGCGGGGGTTTGGGGGGGT